TAATGGTTTTAGGTATATAATGCAAAGAAATTAAGGAATGAGGAAAATGACCCAAATGTACAGATTTGTTTATAGCAGCTGTATTTGTGATAGCAAATAGTTGGAAACTGAGGGGATAAGCATGAATTGGGGAATGGCTGAACATATTCTGGTACATCAATATGGTTGAAAAAAATATCATACTGTAAGAGAAGATGGACAGGTTCCTCTTCTGGGAGGGACAGGTTCTGCTTCTGGGAGTCAAGAAGGTAGTCACTCTCACTCTCCACTATCAATCTCTGAAAACCCAGAAAATATCACACCAGAAAAAAAGAAACCCTGTAAAAGCTGAACTACAAGAAAGACATGGAACAACAGTGTAGCAGCCCAGCCAACGGGTCTCCCAGTGCCTCAGCAAAAATAAGGGAAGCAGCACTGCAAAGGGCCCGTGGCAGATAAGCACTGTGAGGCAGTCATCTGAAAGGAGCTGAAGAAAGCAACCTAGAGTCTTCCTAAAGTCCAGCCTTGCTGATTCCAACCCAACACCAGGTAAGCTGTCAGAACCCTACACCCTCCAACTGTCAACCAGGAGGAGATCCTGAACCCAGGTGGTAGAGCAGGCAAACACCAACACCTGGACCTTTGAGTGCCTCAGTGAGGGTGGGGGAACCGGTGGAACCCAGCTCAGAAAACCCCCAGGTGCCTCGACACTCTACCACAAAGGAATCTCCCAGTGCATTAGCAGAAATGAGGAGGGCAGCATTGCGAGGGGTTCCAGGCAGATAAACACCCTGCATCACCCATCAAAAAGGAGCTGAAGAAAGCTAAAGAAAAGGAAAAGCAGGCAACCTAGAATTGCCTGAAAGTTCCAGCCTTGCTGACTCCAGCCCAACACAAGTAAGCTACCAGAACCCTACAGCTTCCCTTTGCCCACATAAGAGGCCCCAGCACTCAAAGCCAGTGACCAAGACCTGGGCTCCCAATACAAGAAACTTGGGTCAGTGCTCTCTGTTCCCCAGCAGGAAAGCTCAATTTCTTTAAGGGCCAGGGAATAAAGAAACCATGAGTAAAAAGTGACCTACCATAGATTCATATTATGAGAAGAGTGAAGATCAAGACAGAAATTCTGAAGAGGACAACATTGGCAACAAAGCCACATCTGCAACGTCAAAAGGGAACATGAACTCGTCTGAAGCCCAAAAAGGCTTCTTAGAAGAGCTCAGGAAGGATTTTAAAGTCTAATGAGAGAGGTAGAAGAGTCCTTAAAAAATACAATTGGCCCATTGAAAAAAAAAAGTACAGTGAAGGAAAGAAGTCCCTTAAAAATACAATTGGCCAATTGGAGAAGGAAGTAAAAAACTAACAAGAAAACAATCTGTTAAAAACTAGAATTGGACAAATGGAAACTAATGAGCCTATGAAAGAGCAAGAATCAGTCAAACAGAAGCAAACAAATGAAAAAGTAGATGGAAACATGAAATACCTCATCACTAAAACCACCGACCTGGAAAATCGATCTAGGAGAGACAATTTAAAAATCATTGGACTACCTGAAAATCATGATGGAAAAAAGATTCTGTACAATACGTTTCAGGAAATCATAAAGGAAAACTGCCCTAAAGTCCTAGAACCAGAAGGTAAAATAACCACAGAGAGAATAGACTGCTGACCACCTGAAAGAGATCCCAAATTGACAGTGCTAAAGAACATAATAGCCAAATTCCAAAATTACCAGATGAAAGAGAAGGTGCTGCAAGCAGCCAGAAAGAAACAATTTAAATAGCATGGAACCACAGTCAGGATTACACAGGACCTTGCAGCTTCTACCTTAAAATGCTGCAGGGTGAGGAACATGCTATCCTGAAAGGCAAAGGAGCTTGAATTGTAGCCAGGGATCAACTGCCCTGCAAAAATGAGTGTGATATTTCAAGGGAAGAGATAGATCTTCAATGAAATAGGGGACTTCCAAACATTCTTGATAAAAAGACCATAGTTAAACAAACAATTTAATTTTCAAGTGCAAGATTGAAGAAAGACATAAAAAGGCAAATGGGACAGAAAGGTATAAAGTGTTGTTAATAAGGGCCGGCTTTTTTGCTTCCAACTCTTGAGAACCATATTGTTAATACTCCATGTTAAAGGAGTATACATAAAGGGGGTGGATAATAGTTGACTTTGATGTAATGCTAAAAAAAAATCTAAGTCAAGTGGGTTAAATAGATACAAGTAAGTGGCTTAATCTGATCTTAGAAAATGTACTGAGAAAGGGGGAGGCAGACAAGGGTTAATTGTTACAGGAAAAGACAGAAAATCGTATTGCAGCAGAGGGAAAGAAGGGAAGGGGATGAGCCTTGTTTGAACTTTAGTCTCATAATATTTGTCTCAGGAAGGGAATAACATGATCAGTTAGGTAAAGAAATCTACCCTGCCCTATACGTAGTAGGAGGGAAAAGGGGAAAGAAAAGGGAAGGGGGATCGAAGGGAGTGAAGAAGCAGTAAGGACAAGGGGGAACAAAAAGAAAAGGGATAATAGAAGGGAGGAGAGACTGAAGGAGGGGATTGTTGAAAGCAAAACACTTGTGAGGGGGGGAAGGGAGAAAGGAGAAAGAAAAGCATAAACATGGGGCAAAAGGATGGACAAAAAGACACAGATAGTAATCATAATTGTGAAAATTGAATTAGTATCTTCTTTTTTCTGTTCTGTTGAGTTTTGTTCTCTCTTTCTGATGGTTCCTCCTATTCGTTTTAATTTTTAGTTACAACTTCAGTAATGTGAAAATATATTTAATAGGAATGTAAATGTATGGCCTGTGTCAGAATGTGCACCGTCTTTGGGAGGTTGGTGGGGAGGAAGAGTGAGAAAAATTGTAAACTCAAAAGCATATGGAAGTGATTATTGATAAATCAAAATAAATTAATAAAATAAAAAAATGGGAAAAAATAAATGATGCCATAAATACAGGAGTTTAGGAGTGCTGGAATGCCTTCATCAAAAGCCTCAGTGACCAATTAGATAAAAAGCATAGCCAAATAGAAATGTGGCTTAGAATAAAAACTCCTCCAAGGTGAAAAAAAAAAAAGAAAAGATGAAGGGGGATGTTTTCAGAAAAACCTGAAAAGCCTTTTTTGACCTTACACGAGTGAAGTCAGCAGAATCAAGAAACCAATTTATACTTTCATAATAATGTAAAAATACTCAACCTGAAAGGCTATGTAGCTCTGATAAGCACTATGACCAATCATATTCAAGGACTCATGATGAAGTATGCTATCCAGCTTTAGGGCAGAGAACTAATGGACTCAGAGTGGAGATTGAAGCATAATTTTTTAAAATTTCTTTTCAATTTTTGTATTATGTATATGGCTAAGATGAGAATTTTTTTATATCAATATACATAATTGTAATTTGTTTCATTTTTCTTGCCTTCCAAATGGGTAGATATGGAATGAAAGGATAGAAGAAGAGAATTTGAAATTGAAAATAAAATAAAATTGAATTGAAAAAAGAAAAGGGGTATCATATCTTGCATGAGGAAAATGTCAATTACACTGTTGTCCCCCATAGTCACGTCCAATGTGAAATACTGTGGCAGTCTTGCCCTCCACATTCGAGAAATGATGCAAAAAAAGAAAATATCTAAAGAAGGACAATCAAGACTGTCAGGGAGCTTTATTTTGCACCATCTGAAGATCAGCTGAAGGAAGTGAGGTTGCTTTGTTTCAGGCAGAGATGGTTTAGGATGATATATACTAGCTATCTTCAAATGCTTTAACATGGAATTGGGGTTAGACTTGATTTATATGGCAGAAGAGAACAGAACTAGGACCAAACATGGAAGTTACAGGGAGGTAGATGCTGGCTTGATGGGAGTGGAAAATTCCAGAGGATTAGAACTACCCAGAACTGGAATTGGTTTGCCTCAGGAAGTCAAAAGGTTTGCTTCTTTGGAGGTCTTCAGAGAAAGGCTAGGTGATGCAGTGGATAGAGTGCCAGTCCTGAAGCAAGGAGTTCCAAAGTTCAAATCTAGTCTTAGACATTATTAGCTGTCTGAGCAGGTCACTTCACCTTGTTTACCTTAATTCTTCATCTGTAAAATGAGCTGAAGAAGGAAATAGCAAACCACTCCAGTATCTTTGCCAAGAAAGTCCAAAATGGAGTCATAAAGAGTCAGACACAACTGAAATGACTCAACAACCAAGAAAAGAAAGAATGGATGAATGCTCACTTGGTCTGCTGCAGACAAGATGTTCATTCATATATTTGCTATAGTAAGATGGTCATAACCCAGATATGTTTCTCTGTGGGTGACTGAGAACTTATGGTTGATATTTCCCCCTCCTCATAATACTGCTTCTTTAATAGAGGACAATATTAGTAACACCCAAAATTTATATAGCATTTAAACTTTTCAAAGCACTTAGTAGATATTAATTTTTGAGTTTCACAAGAAACCTGTCAGGAATGTATCATAAACGTTGTTTTTCACATTTCTGAGATGATGAATTTAAGGTATGAAGATGACACATCCAGAGCTTGGAGAGACCTTTGTGCTCTCTGAGTCTCTCATTATTGATGAGAAATGTTGGATCCTGTAAAGCAAATTTTCATTGGTCATAGAGACAATAGGTGGTAGACCTTGTATTCAAACCTATGCCTGATGAATCTGAGATCACCTCTTTTTTCATGGTTCTATGACTTATGACATTCCTATGTTCATACAGCTATGAATTATCACAGCAGAATTTTCATCTCTGCATCCCAAGGGCTAAATGTCGTGCCTGGTATATACAGGCACTTAAGACATATTTGTTAACTGCTTCATTTGTACTTTGGAACTCCATAAAACATTAACTCCTCTCTAGTTTTGAAACCACTATTTCTGACAAGCATTAAAGGCTTTGCATCATTACTGCTATGTGTTTAAAATGGCTAAGGTTAATTATTATTTTCTGAACTTATCTTACCATCACAGAATTTAATGAACTGTTTTCTACAGTAGATCAACTCTTGAGCTTTAGAGATTTATATAGGATCCAGAAAACATCCCAGCTGGATCATAGTTTCATTAGTTGTCCCTTTAACTCCACCCCTTGTTTTGTAGTCTATATATTCCTTTCAGAATTTATCAGCGAATTAGAACAGCACTCCAGGTTGAGGTGTTAAGAACAAAGAGGCAAACAGAGACAAAGAATACAGACAGAAATAAAAAGCCAACAAGAGAGCATGACAATGAGCATCATCCTAAGTTTAAGTGCTGGAACCTGGGCACTACTTGTTCTGTTCCTGACTCTCCTGTTTCTGTAAGTGAGAACCTGCTTTCCTCCCTCTACAATTTATCAAAGGATTACACCAAGCTCCTTTGTGATTGTCAGAGGACATTTCACAATGACTGGTTTCTAATTTCTCTTACTCCTTGCATAATGTAAATAAGGATATATTTGTTATTTGTATTTCTGCAACTAAAAATATTGACTTCCTTTGTTTAAATAAATGAATTGAATAATTGGCTAAAAAAAAAGGACCAAGGAAAAACTATAAACTCCCTAATCAAAGACTCTATTCTCTTTTCCAAAAAGAATTGATTCTGAAGTTATTCCTTTGGTATTGGTCAAATGATTTAAAAGCCAAGAAAACTCCTTAAAGAAACCTGAGTTCATATCAGTTGTCTATTTTTCTTATTACCATTCCAATTGTGCTCTATATTATTTTACTTTTCAAGTTTAAAAGGTATTTTCTTGTGTCTAAAAATTATAACTCATTTGTTACTGTTCATCTTGATCAAAACACTGCAATCTTTTCTATCAGACAGTCTGTATGGATTCTTTATGACGTATTTGTGTATCCTCTTTTTTAAAGGCTTTGGGATGGGAGCATCAGCAAAAGTTGAGCATTTCTTTTCTGCCCTATCCATCTATTTTAACTAATCACTGTCCTGGAAAGGTAGGGAACTAGAAAACCGGTCTGTGTCATGGATATATGTCAGAAATGGTAGATTTTCTTTACAAAAAAATACCAGTTGATCAGTTACATCTAATGTTGCGATACCCACAAGCTGATGAGACCCAAGAATCATACTGGCAGGAGAACAGGTAGAGACACAACCTCAAATATTGCAACCTCTTAAACCTCAGCATTAGCTGTCTTTATTTTTTTAAGGCTTCTGATGGTTTCAAGGTCTATTACTTAAAAATGTTCCATAGGATATAAATGTTATGTGCTTAGATCTTTGTTTATTTCCCTTGTATGTTGGTTAATTTATTACAATATGTGGCAGTGGTCACTGCTAAATATTAAAGAAAAATTCACAGAACTTCATAAATTTTCATTTTTGCTTTTTCCTGCAGACTCTGAATCATACTAATTTATTTAGGCAGTAGAAGTTGATATTCGTAGGCCCCTTGTATACTAAGATTTCAAAAATTCCTTATAAATGAATAGAGGGTACTTGTTAGTAATTCTCTATATAAATATAAAGACCATTCTCAAAGAAATGATGTTGTTGAACAGGGAGATAGTTTAATATCATAAGTGCAATATCCAGGGTTCATTCTTTTTTTGTTTTTGTTTATTTTTTTGTGGTTTTGGCTAGGCAATGGAGTTAAGTGACTTACCCAGAGTCACACAGCTAATAAGTGTTATGTGTCTGAGGCCATATTTGAACTCAGATCCTCCTGAATTAAGGGCCAGTGCTCTGTTCACTGTACCACCTAGCTGCCTCTCCAGGGTTCTTTCTTAAAGCTATCAGGAAACACTAGAAGGTCAAAGAACTGGGGAAACAAAAACATCACATGTCCTGAGATTCTTCTGCATTCATGCTAAAATCAATGCTACAATGGTGGATTAGGGGGCTGCTGATATACTAGAATGATAATGCATTCAGCTGTGAAAGGACCTAAATTCAGATCATTCTCTTGATGCTCACTTACCTATGTGACCTTGGCCAAGGATGGTAAATTGCTGAGCCTCAGTTTCTTCATTCATACAATGAGGTGACTCTGGAGATGGACTCAGAAGCCTCTTAAAAACTCTGAATTTATTATTCTATCATCTTATTTCCCATAATGGAAGTCAGAATAGCCTACATGTGCTGCTTTGTGCCATTGCTGGCTGAGGGTAATGATGTAATACAGTATTTAGAGGAGCATAGGATATGAGACCTAGGAAGAATCTTGGGGGTTATCTTCTTCTACTATCTGCCCCTCATTTTCTCCCTCACTTGATAGACAAGGAAGTTGAGGTTAAGAGAAGAGAATGAGCCTGCCTAGTAATATAATATAATGCAAGATGAATAAAATATAAAGTAACATAATATGATACAGTATATCTGTGTAACCTACTACATTGAGGTTATAATCAGCAAACAGGTATGTTGAGAAAAAATGGAGGGAAACTATACCCTAGATGAGGAAATAATGTCGATATTAAATATACAAATGATTAATGGTATGTCAACCAAGTTCTTTAAAAAAAATTAGAAATGAATGCATTCAATATTTCTACCTTTCTGCATTGGATTGTGATGTTTTATGCCCTAGAACATGGTCAGTTTTTGTCTAGGTGCCATGTACCACTGAGAAAAGGGTACCTTCCTTCGTATCCCCATTCATTTTCTCCAGAGGTCTACCATATCTTACTTTTCTAAAATTCTATTTACCTCATTAATTTCTTTCTTGTTTATTTTGTGGTTAGATTTATGTAGTACAGAGAGGGGAAGGTTGAGGACCCTTACTAGTATAGTTTTGCTGTCCATTTCTTCCTGTAGCTCCCTGAACTTCTCCTCTAAGAATTTGGGTGCAATACCACTTGGTGCATATACATTTAGTAATGATATAGCTTCATTGTCTATGGTGCATTTTAAAAGGATGTCATGTTTCCTTCCTTATCTCTTTTAATAAGATCTATTTTTCTTTTGCTTTGTCTGAGATCAGGAATGCTACCCTTGCTTTTTTTTTTTTTTTACTTCAGCTGAAGCATAATGTTCTATTCCAGCCTTTTACCTTTACCCTGTGTATACTCTTGTTTCAAATGTGTTTCTTGCAAACAACATATTGTAGGACTATAGTTTTGAATCCTTCTGCTATCCATTTCTGTTTTATGGGAGAATTCATCCCATTCACATGGCACAGTTATGATTACTATCTGCATCTTTCTCTCCATCCTGTTCCCCATCCCCTTTATACTATAAAGCTATACCCTAGATGAGTACATAATGTCAATATTAAATACGCAGATGATTAGTGGTATGTCAAACAAGATATTTTAAAAAAATTTTAGAAACTCTGTTGTGAAGTAAAAAAAATTAATTTTGAGTTGAGCCTTTGAAATAATAGTCATAATTTTATCCAACACTGCAGCCTATGTTGAAGTAGAATCAGGTGAAGTAACACATAAATAACAAGGAAAGAAAATAATGTAGTTGACATCCAGGCTTTCTAGAAATATTTTCCATATTGAGCCAATACTCTTTCTTTGTTTCTTTTTTCCTTCTATTTTATGTAGGTGAAGTTATGGCATAAGAGTGTAACCATTCTGGCTTTGTTGATTTTCCTGTACCTTATCTCAGAATGGACCTTCCTCATTTCCCTGTGTACATTAACTATAATTATTGTGGGGATTCTATTATATTCATATATGATAATGTGCCATAATTAGTTTAGCCAATTTTGAACATGTTATTTATGTCCAGTTTTCACTTTTCAAAATAAAGAACCAATGAATATATTTTCTGTGCATAAGTAATTTAAAATGTTATGTTTATTTCTGTGATAATGTCCTGCTAGAGGAATTGCTTGTTTAAAAGTCATAATCAATTTTATGATTCTTGTAATGTATTGAGACATTGCTCTCCAAAATATTTTCTTGGTTCTGTAGTCCTATCAAAAATATATTAGGATAACTAATTCCTTAATACCCAACCAAAAATAGATATGACCATTGTGAATCTAATAGCAAGATTCTGTAGTGTATTATAGTTTAGGACAATGAATTCAAATGTATTTGCAAATGAAAACATGAGGCAACTCACTTCTTAATTTGGACTCTGTTGCCTCATATCCTCCCTATAAATATCAAACACCTTCAGCAAGCTGGTCTTTTTATGCAGTAAAAAAGTCTTTGAGGAATTAAAGCTGTAGGCTTCCCCAAGCATATTGTATAGGAATATGATGAGCTTGAGTAAGCTACAGCATATAATGAAGGAAGAGAGAAAGGAAGTTAGGAAGGAATTCAGGAAAGAAAGAAAGTAGAAAAGAAATATGGAAGTAAAAAAGACTTTTCCAAGCATGTACTATATTCCAGGTAATGTGACATACACCTTAATAATATACGCATAACCACAGATAGAAAACATTACGAAAGGCAAAATGGATGACTTTGATTACATTAAATTGAAAAGTTTTTGCACAAACAAAGCCAATGCAACCAAGATTAAAAGGAAAGCAGAAAGCTGGGAAACAATTTTTACAGCCAGTGTCTCTGACTAAGGGCTTATTTCTTTTTATTATTATTATTTATTTATTTTTAATTTTCAACATTTTCTTCCACAAGATTTTGAGTTTCAAATTTTCACCCCATCTCACCCCTTCTTCTACCCCAAAATGGCATGCATTCTGAATATCCCTTCCCCTAGTCTGCCCTCCCTTCTACCTCTCCACCCCCTTCTCTTATCCCCTTCCCCCTTCTACTTTCCTCTAGGGCAGGATAGATTTCTGTACCCCATTTCCTGTATTTCTTACTTTCCTGTTGCATATGAAAACAGTTTTTTAAACATGTGTTTTAAAACTTTGGGTTCCAAATTTTCTCCCTTCCTCCCTCCCCACCCACCCTCATTTAAAAGGCAAGCAACTCAATATAGGTTATGCACATGCACAGTTTTGCAAAACTCTTCCATAGTAGTCATGTTGTAAAAAACTAACTCTATTTCCCTTAATTCTATCCCCCCCCATTTATTCTATTCTTTCTTTTGACCCTGTCCCTCCTCAGAAGTGTTTGCTTCTAATTACCCCCTTTCCCAATCTGCCCTCCTCTCTCTCATTCACTTGCTCTCTTGTCCCCTTCTCCTCCTATTTTCCTGCAGGGTAAGACAGATTTCCATGCCCAATTAAGTGTGTATGTTATTCCCTCCTTAAGCCAAATCCTATGAAAATAAGATTCACTAATTTCCTCTCACCTTTCCCTGTTTCCCCTCCAGTGTAAGAGCCTTTTCTTGTGTTTTTTGTGAGATTAATTTGCCTTGCTCTACCTCTCCCTTTCTCCTTTTCCCAGTATAATACTCTCTCACTCTTTAATTTTATTCTCCAGA